ACCCAATGATGACGAATAGGGGGCGGGTCGAACCGCGCATATGTTCGCCCGCCGTGGCGAACGCGAACATGCTATGTTCGCCAGGAACCGTTCGCCGGCGAACCGTTCGGTACATCACTAGTCAGCAGACAAGAACCCTCCAAACCCAGACCCACCAAGGCTTTGCCCTAATCGCACTCCAACAGGAAGCAAACATAAAGCTGGGGGAAAACGCACCACCCACAGACGCTCAACGAACCACTAATACAGCAACCCATAATCCGGAGACCCACGACCACCCATACAACCACACAAGACCCAACTACCAACCAAAGACAAAACCCAACCCAGACAACCCACCCACCCACAAGAACACAGGGTACACACCAGGGACACATAACCCCTCAACAAGAGGGCCAAACTCACACAGGAACACCCGGCTCATAACGGGAGACACCCCCCCCTGGAGACACCAAGACAGTGGGGCACAGGAAATACACACACGAGAGCGAGAGCCGAGAACCACACAACACCCACTGCAGGAACCCATAGAAAGGGCCGGGCAACAGGCTAGCCATGCAATAGACAAAGATAGACAGGGCTCAGATCAAAAGCGTAGTGGAAAAAGCTACTAGCAGACCCATACTTCACCAAGCCTAACGAATGCACCACCAAGGCCCACGGAGCAGTGATCACCTGGACCGCCCTGACACACCCGACCAACTACGAGTCCAACAACAGCAATATCCAAGGCAGCCACACTACACCCAAAAGGGATACATTACCCCAAAAAAAAAAAAAAACACCTACCCCTAAGGACCCCGGGGAAACACACAGGACACCGCAGACCTACCACACACCAGCTCGCACATGACGATATAAGGAACCACTACAGCATCATACCAGAACAGGCCAACGTTTTTACTAATATTTGAGCTACTGTGAAGACAGCACACCGACTACCATGATATGGTAGAGCAAAACAAACAATCAGCATCTGTACGGACATATTGCCCGCCACCTCTGTTATACGGGCAGAGCCATTGACCAGGCGATGTCGACGCACAAGCTTGAACTAAAAGTCTGAAATCAAAGTACATTAGCCTAATTAATATAAACGTGAAAATAAAAACAATTTAACACATAACACCTGCAGAAACCAACCAACACAAACACCAGCACACACCAGCTAACACAATACAAATCCACAAACCTGCTGATACAAACTACAGCACGACCAAGCCAACACAAGACAACAATATAAACACATTCACACACTTCTGCCAAAAAATAAAAAATAAAAAAAATAATCAAATCTCACAGACACATAATGGTAGCCCACACACCACCTATCGACATCATCACCAAATTTAGATAATGTTTCATATTAGCAGATAATCCATAGAATCAATACCGTTAAATATACGTAACATATGCTTATATACCTAAACTTTTCCGCCCTACCAGGCACCGACTGTTTGAATTTGATTCATACTATGCTTGTTGGTAAATGCCTCTGACATCTGTTAGATAAGAATTGCTTACCTCCCCTGTGTGGGATGACCGCTTATCCAACATCGCAACTCTCACAACATGTGCCAAACTATTAGGCCAGAGGGCAAGAGTAATTCAAGCTCAACATACTGCTGTATACTTTATTTGAATATTTAGATAATGCCTCATGTTAGCAGATAATTCATAGAATCAATATCGTTAAATATACGTAACATATGCTTATATACTTAAACTTTTCCGCCCTACCAGGCACTGACTGTTTTGAAATTGATCCATACTATGCTTGATGGTTAATGCCTTTGACAGATGTTAACTATGATTTGCTTACCTCCCCTGCGTGGGATGACCGCTTATTGAATGAACCAATAAAACAGATTTAAAACAAAGTCAGCAGACAAGAGAACAGCAGGTTTTGCAAACTGTTTTTAGATATATACCCAATGAAAAATGCATAATTAAATGCATGCAAGTTTTAATTTGGGGCATATATATTATTTATTTTGTATTTGGGCAGTGGAATGTACCTTTAACATAAGTCAAATTAAGTCAAATTATACAAACTCACTATTCAAAAGTATATATTTGTAGAAAGCAGACATCCTAGGGTATTAACCTGGTAGTCACATTAATTATTTGCCTTAGCCTGGTGACAGCTCCAAGAAAGATCAGTCAGTCAGTCTGGTGGGCTTTGCTGGACTGTTTCATTGTGAAGCAGTCCAGATTAGCTCAGCACACACCAACTGGCACCAAAAGGCACAGAGTCTGCTTGCAGCCTTGCTGAAGAAGCAGGCAAGCATCAGATTACTGTAACAACTGTCACTATTGGCATGATGCCACAGCGATCAAATGCCTTGGACAGTGTGGTGGAACCAAAGAACAGATTACATTGTCTAAACAGCGTCCAAATATGAAGAATCCTGTCTATTGCCAGACTCCTCACTTTAAACAGCCACTGTAATATCTTATTTGGCCTCAACTACTTGCATTGGTGACAACAATGTAAAGCATACACCCCCATTCACAAATGCAGTTAATGTTATATGTTCCTTTAACTCCCTTTTACTTCCACCACCATGACCACTTCAGTGATTTGAAATGGTCGCGGAGGTAGGAACGTAGGAGTATTTTTGTGCAGTGTTTCTGCTAGTTGCACTCCCAGCACACATGACATTGGCAACCCAAAATTCTGTTCTGTAAAGTAAATTTTGTAAATTAACCTAAAAAAGTTCCCTTTGCAGACAGAGTACCTGAAAAGGGAAGATTTTTTTATTAAATTGAGAATTGTCATAAATTCAAAGTGAAATTCTAATTTTAAACTAATTTTTGCCATACTGGAAGCATTGCTGACTTGCTGACCATTTTGCTTTCCAATTCCTTCAATTATCACAGGGTTACTTACTTAAAGCACCACTCCACACTTCCAAACCCCCCACCAAAAAAAAAAAAAAACACAGTTTGGTAGATATACCCCCAATGAATACATATGTGCATATTTTCATGTATGTATTTATTGGAAATATAGTTTAAAAAGCTTTGTAAACCCCTCCCCTTTTTCCCCCCGGAAGAGACCTTTAGTCTCTTCACAACGAAATAACCAATCAAAAGCCTCTGACTTGGTCCCAACGCGCACAATGTTGACTGCACGTATATATGACCATGCACGTGCGCGCACCCAGTCGCGAGCTGGTCTGAGGTCTGTGAGGGAGGAAGGGGGAGGCAGGCACACTGAAGTAGAGTGCCTGTCACTTCCGTTAGCTCAGAGGAGCTAACGGATGTAGGAAGGAATCCTCCCTGGCTGTTTGATTGACAGCCAAGTGGGAGTTCCCTGGTTAATTTATAAAAGTGCTGATTTCTCACATATACTTGGGATGTTACAAGATCATCCCTCCTTTTACACCTGGGGAAGAGTGGGGAGAGTAGGACTCTGTGACCTAGCTGTAAATAATTTCTTTATTTGATGTTTAAAGTTTTCACAGTTTTATTTCAAGCTCTAACATTTAATATCCTCTTTTTACCCCAACAACTCTTGAGGCCACATGGATGTTGCTGTTGATTTAATTGCAGCTTATTTTAGGCTTTTCTGGATCTGTATGCTTGCGTTAAGTATATTAAATAATCACCACCCACCCCGTAGCCCCATAGGGTAGAGGTCTGTTACCTCGCCTTGGAGCCATCGCTTAGGCCCTAGCGGGCAATACAGAATTTGTTACACTAACCATGTTTATAGTCTGCCACATTGCAAACTAACCTATATATCTAGTGCTCCTTGACTACTAGCTTAATTCTAATTATTGCTATATTATAACCAAAAAAAAAGTTGGGTGTTTAATCTATCCATTGTTTTCCTTTCCCTATTTGTATGCAACAGTTTTAAAGGCATTTTCTGTCGTAATGCTTATCATGTCATGTACCTCCCCTTGAAGCCATCGCCTATTCCATAGTGGGCAATACAGGATTAGCCAGAATACCTAGGTTTATATTCTGCCACAATGCCAACTAGCCTACATATCTAGTGCTTCTTAAATACTAGCATAATTCTAGCTGTTTGATAATCTATAAATGGGGTGTTTCATTTCGAAGTTGTTTTTTGTTTTTATACTGTATGCATGCAACAGTCTTGATGGCATTTTGGGTCGCAATGCTTATTATTTCTTGTACCACCTGCAAAAATAAAGAATAATATATATATATATATATATATATATATATATATATAGTGAATAGAGACCTAGATATAAGTCTAAATAACCCTACTTGAAGATTTATAGTCCATTATATAGTTTATATTTTAGTCATTTTCTAAGGCTACTTTGTTACTTGACAATATTAATAAATCATAGTTAAGCCTTTAAAAAAAAAAATTTAAAACAGCTAAACTGGAAAAACAAATTCTAAGTCAGCTAACCTTTCCGTTCATTTACTCTGGCCTTTTCACTTTGCATTCTCACTTTAAAGAATAACCTTACTAATTCCCAATTAAGCATTAAGACAACATTTAACTAGAACCTGGTCACAATCACTTCCTTTATATCAGGGATGCCCAATAGGTAGATCCCCAGATATTGTAGGACCACAACTTCCAAGATGCTTTGCATGCTTTTACAATGACAAACCATCATGGAAGCTGTAGTTTAAAAACATCTGAGGATTTACCAGTGTTCTGTTCAAAAAAACATTTGCAAAAATGTGTAAAGGGAAAGTACGCCAATGGAATGTCCTGCTAATCCCACAAGTTTCCATGGTGATTGTCGCATCACTTTTAGTACTGGTGAAGTGGTGAGGGATTACCAACGTATGCTAGGAGGGACTATGATGACAAAAACATTAGACTAGATACATTATTTGTAGCCTCCTTTCTTTGCATAGCTTTATGATGTAGATTGTGACACTGCTTGTATAAACATAAAGAAATACTTCTTGGATGTATTATTATTATTATATGTCTTCTACTGTACGTGTAACATTGTATTTCTAAAGTAGTGTATAAATAAATTAAAAATATTAACCTTTTACAACAGGAAGAAACAATAGCCAAGATAAGCACCACATGAGAGCACGACAAGACTCATTGGGAACACGCAAATGCTTAATCCAACTGTGAATGAGGGAAATGTCTTACTGGAATGCTATTGATTCTTTCCCCTCCCCCCTTTTTCCTTTCTGCAACCCCAGTTTCATTATCCGAAAATTAATAAAAATTGTCAAATTGAAAAAAAAAAAATTAACCTTTTTAACACCACTTTGAACCACTGGGTGTCAGTATAGCCAAGTCATTTTAACTGTACTGCGCAACTAAAATATCCAGCACAATAGTGTTATACTGTATACTCGATGAGCATATGCATTATATAAACAGTATAGCAGTAGGGAAATAGAACTGTATTCCTAACGCTAGTGTGTCCCTCTGCCACTGAGGCCCTACCCCATCACACCCATTGATTAAAGGGTTAAAAAAAACTTCTTTTTTTTTTAAACGTACTGCTTTCCAGCACTGATCTCTGCGCTGAATCGCTCCATGATGCTGATGGGCGAACCTAATTCACATTCATGTCAAGAAATGAAAGCGCATGAGATTTTACCCATAGGAAAGCACTGAATCTATGCTTTCCGATGGGTAAGTTCAAGACACAGGACGTCCTCTCACTTTATTAAGGCTGATGTGAGTGTGGGGCCGGAATAGACTCTATCATTGCACCTCCCTTGTCTGTGCCTCCTCTCAGCCTTCTCAAGTGGGCTCTCCCTGTAGTTGGGACCTGCACTCACTTCCCTCCAGCATCGCTGATATTACATCGCTGTTAAATGGCCCCTCTTCACAAATATCCCAGGTCAGGAAATTCTGCTGCAGTTCTCTCTCTCTGCTACTGCCAAGATGGCTTCTCGCTTCTCTCTCCTGTGGCACTGTAACCACCTCCCCCCCCCCCAAAGTTTTATATGCCAATAGTGGCACCTGAATAGTGTGACCTACAGACAAATGGTTTAACTCCTTGAAGTAAGAGTTTGCAAAGGGGTGTCCTGACACTATAACAACTTAATTTATATAAATTTGGTATAGTAACCAGAGTGTCCCTTTAACACAACTGAATATACTCACTGTACTCACAGATTAAAGCATAATACATTACAAGCAGAGTAGAAATATGATATATTTATTTTACAGTGCAGAGGGACTGCATCCACCTTGTCCGCATTGATAATGCAGAATTAACAGTTCCATGTTATAAATGTCTATTTCATTGAACCATGTTGACCACCTGGAAGCACTGGTTAACTCATATCAATCACAGCTAATCAATGTCATTTAAGTTGGATCAAATTGACAATGAAAATGTGGAAGCATTATCAATGTGACCAAAATGGGGGCTGTCCCTCTACAGTCTGTATAAAACCATTTGTAAACAGTGTAATAATAATCCATGGGACCATGCCAAGGCAGCCTGGGGAATCTAGCCACTGCTGTCATCTGTGGTGTGTATATAGTTTTGAGTGACCCTGTATGTTTAATCATCCACATATTTATCTAAGTAAAGGCAAAAAATATCCTAGCAATTTGTATCAGTCCAACAGCTGGAGGGTGGCAGCTTTTTCTTGCATACATATGCATTTTATACCCCAAAATTTGGAATCTCGAAACTGAATTATTCAAAACCAGACTAACAGGGTTATTTATTAAAGTAAAAATTCAAGGTGAATTCAAAGTGAATGTGAAAAGGTAAGGCCAGGGTAGCCAAAATGAAAGCCAGTCAGTTTGGCAACTTTGACCTTAAATTTTAAATTCACTTTGAATTCAACTTGAGTTATCTTTGTCAATTGTAACTCTTAGCCTGACAAACTCTGCCACAAGCAGTGTCACACTCACACCCTACTCTCCAGACATTGTATCACAGAATGAGTCATAAGGTAGAGCCTCAGTCATCCGGTCAAACATGGCACCTGGCCAGAAGGCACACATGATGGTAACAGGTTTGTCAACACCGGGCAGAACATCACTGATACAAACTAAAATACTTTGACTTAAAATTTGGTTTGTCTGAATAGTTTCATCAGAAAATATATTCAGCCAAACTGAATTATGTCCATGTAATAATTCCACAAAGGCTAATTAACAAATAACAACATATGAGGGCGAATATGATCCCCATATTGGTAAAAGGGAGTATAAATACAAGGTTCAAAACCTCCCACAAATTATTAGCTGCTATGCCGGAGGTTGGGCCATGTGTATTAAACAGGAAACAGACAGGGACTGCTCCTTGTCATAAAGACTAGAGAAGTTCAGCTATTGCTGCCCAGTCTCTAATGCAATAAAGGGTGCAAAAAATAAAGATTAAAGTGGGCTGGACATAGTGTCCCCCCTGTAACCTCGCCCATGGCCAGTTGGTATGGCTATTAAATAAAATAAATGCTGGGAACTGGTATGGCAGTGAGCAGCAGGTCAGGGATCTAATTATAATAATATGGGGAAGGCCTAGTGTTGCTCTAACCCGTGAGCATTTGGTGGCTGCTCTAATTAAAATAATATGGGGGTACCTAAAACTTTCCCCAATCCAGGGTGTGGGCTATTAAAAAAATATTAACTTGGGGGGCCACCAAAGTTTGGGTTGGAATAATAATATAATACTATATTATTATACTAATATGGAGGTCACATTGACCCCCATAGGCTTTTATTTCACTCTTAGTTCAGGAGATATCTCTAATGCTGAACTAAGCATGAATAGTAAATTTAATCCATCAGAGCTCTCTGAACTTCTGTTTTTACACGATATAATTACAATGAGGGAGCTGTTTCTTTGTCCTTGTAATTAGAAGAATGCTAAAATAACAAAGTGCATGGATGAATTTTTGTCCACAATCACTATGTTTTTCGAGCATTTCGTGCAATTTGCAATTAGCTCATTTGTGTTTCTGTAGTTTTACATTGCAGGGTTACGAACTACTAAACTACAGAAACTGTGACAATCTCTTTAACAGGGCACATTAGGGTCCTACAATCCAGATGAGTAAGGTGCTGCACATGCAAAGATGGTCAGTGGCCAGTTTCTCTGTGATTGTTGAGACCACAATGCCTTCAATATTCCTAACACTCCCATCTTGTGAGAGAACATGTTTAGTCTTTGCGTTTACTTGCTTTCTGAGCTTTTTTTTTGTAAACTATATTTGCTGACTTAGCTAAAAATCTTTTTTCACTGAAACTACCCCTGGGGCATTCATGACATGTAGCTGTAATATTGTCACATATCACCATACGTTGTAAAGAGATGAGCAATAAATTGTCATTTCAAAAAGACAATCTAATAATGTGACATATCCATTTTGGCTCATATCCTTCCTGAGTCAGAATTCTTAACCTCCCATTCACAGCCACACTGACTGACACACCTCTGTGAATATCGTTCTCAGGCTAATACAAATAATTCACAGAACACAGTAAATAATGTTCTATTCAATGAAAACGTGCCCTACAAATAATACTCTAGAGTCTACACAATGTGAATAACTCCTGCCCACATCAAATAACACCCAGCATTCTGCTTTGTCCTATAGCCTGAATGCAATGAATTATAGTTAATTGATGTGTTAAAGGGATACTTCAAGCACTAACCAGTGTATGTCATGATAAAAGGATCTCTATTTTTGTTTTCATTCAATATATGCAGTAGCGTTACATCTATTTGTTAAAATCTGAGCAGTTCCCCTATTTAGACCCTCTGCCCCCCCCCCCCCAGCTACAAATTGTTCTCATACCCATACAGGGAGCTTTCTCACCTAGCATTCAATATTACTTCGCTAGACTGCTTGCACTTTATATCACTAACTGGCTTGCTCATATTATAAGTCATGCTGTTTACTGTGCACCTATTGTTAAGTAAAGCTCTAACCCACACTTTACCACTCACGTTTTGAGTAATCGCTTGTTTTGTTATCATTTTATTTAAAAGTGCGATAATTCAGACACACTAAGCTGATCATTTTTTCATTAATTGATTTTGCTGGGATGTCTCTCTACTTTTGAATGTTAATCTGCGCACTGCAAAAAAAAGAATTAAAAAACAAATTTTGAGCAATTACATCTCCTCCCACCCACTAAATTGTAAAGCATAGATTCCCTCCTTTCCCTGACCCATTAAAGATGTTTAAAGTAATGAGCATGAAACGCTTCTACTAAGTGGCCTGTACATGTTCTCTTGTTGCGTTATATGACATGTGACAGTGTTTGGCAGACTTTGCTGCAAGTAAATTCATTCACACACAAACATGAATCTATTCCAGTAGATCGAAGAGTCCAAAAAAAGTGTTACTTACAGTTGGGTCTGCTGCAGGCTATACTACTGGCTGACCATTATGTCATGTGAAAAAAGTATCCCTGAACTTTGCTGAGTTAATGGGTCTAATGAAGTGTGTGAGTTTAGATATTAAACTCTATAGTTTGTCTCAAATTAGCCACATATTGAATTTTGACAGCAGAAACTGTGAAGCAGTCATTTGTCCTCAAAAAAAGTCTGTCTATAAGTCAGTGTAAAGATTTGGCAAATTGCTTCATAATTCCCAGATTTTACTAATAACATGACGTAAAGTCATGATTTTATTAATGACACGGAGGCGAGTATTATGCTATCTCTTTCTTACTTTATTCCTCAGCAGCAAAGAGAAATATAAAACTGAAAGAGAAAAAATGTAGATATGCAATAATAATAATAATAACAACAGGTACAACCAGATCTGCCTAGTAACAGGGCAGCCAATCAGCTTAGTAGGAACAGTCCATAAATGCCTTGCTTAGTACTTCCACTTCCTCTTCTTTGCCTTCTGGACCCAAACCAAACTTCCACATCAGGAAAGAACAATCTCCAACAAGGTAGACGTCATCTTAACGAAATCAAGCTGTAAAACAGAGAAAAGGTAGGTAAAATCCAAACTCCGGACCTGCATGTAACATTTCATGACAATCTGGCCTGCAGGACTAAAAAACATCAAATCGGAACCACATAAGTACATAGATCCAAATAAGTCAGAGAAAACTGTGAACACTTACCTTGAGGTAAAAGAGCCCCCACCCGATTGAACCATAAGTATAGACCCAAACCATACCCACTGGGTGGGAGGGTGGGAATAATACTCGCCTCCGTGTCATTAATACAATCATGACTTTACGTCATGTTATTAGTAAAATCTGGGAATTTTATTAATGACACGGAGGCTCCTATTATGCTAGTTTAAAGCTGAGCCATAACTAACGAGGAAACATGGTCAATCGGGCGGAAATAAAAATCGCGGAACATAGATTCTCTAGACCAATCCGCTGCCTTCAGGATATCATCCATACGACATCCCATCGTGGAGGCCTTAGACGCCATGGCGCCTCTGACCGAATGGGCCGAAAATATTGAAGTGTCAATTCCTGCAGCAGACAGAAGACTCTTAATCCAACGAGCTAACGTAGTCCAGGAGATCGGGAGAAACGGTTTCTTAAATGAAATAAACAATTGGGATAAATCCGATGACCTCAATAGGTGAGTGCGATCCAAGTACACTTGTAGGCAAGTTACCGGACAGAGAGCAGGTCGGACTGAACACCTAGGGTAGGTCACTGACTTAGAAGACGTCTTCATCCTCCTAGAGATGTTAAACGACACTCCCTCTGGGGTGAAGGATAACGCGTTCCAGTCCAAAACCCTGACATCTGAAACCCTTTTGCATGAAAGGAGACACAGGAGCATAACCAATTTCCAGGATAATTGCTTCAGTGACAGGTCCTCATTAGTCCAGCACCACGTTAACATCCCAAAACGATGAATATCTGGATTTCGGAGGCCTAGAGTAACGAATACCCTTCAACAAACGGCACACAAAAAGATGTTGTCCAATCGGTGATCCGTCAATACCTATATGTTC